TATTTACTTTGCATATTTTGCCTTGATAATCTCTATAGGTGTAATAGTGATCTATGCAGCTATGGTACTTAGAATAGTGCTTAGTAAAACTAACATTATTACTAAGTGATATTTGAAGACACATAGAGATGGGTCTCTAATGGCAGTAGTATAACAAAACTTTCTCACCATGAAAAAAAAAAACAGGAAGAAACAATATCATTGTTCCATAAAACCTCAGAAAATAAAGAAAAAGGAATATCTCCCAAATCTTTTTATGAGGAGACATAAAAGTAACAAAAACTGGAAAATACTTGAAAGTAAAGATTCTTGGTGAGTACATCACAAAATGGCCATTTCTCTTAATTCTTCCAAGTCAACCCTGCATGTGGAACTTAAAGTATGTGATCTTATATGTTAATACAGCTGTATTTCATTTGACCCTCTCCAGCCCCAGAGCCACCTTTGGAAGTAGTTAGATCTTAACCACATGACTCAGTGCAGAGAATTAAAGGGTTTCCGTCAAGGTCACACAGGTCCACCAAACCTAAAATCCAATGACTTAGAGTAGTTTGATATATTGTTCCAAGAAGGTGGCACAAGGTGTGGAGGGGAGTTTCACTTCTGCAGAGCATCAGAGCAAGCAGCTATTTGCAACACTTCACTTTAGAGATGAAGGTCTATGCCCAAGGTCAGAAAGAAAATTGCTGGCAGAATGAATCTCAGCCTAGGGTGTTCTTCCTGCAGCCCCAGCCTCTCCTTCTCCCTTGGAAATGGTGATGGACCTGGTGTTTGCCCTTGACCTTCAACAAGACTTAAAACAGCACAAGCTGGTCTCCTCTCAAGCATTTTTTTTTTTTCATATCTTTTCAGGGCAATGTGGTCCTCCGTCTCCCTTGCCTCCTCCTGCCAGGACAAACAGCTAGGGATGATGAAGGTCAGTGGACAGTTGGCCCAGCTGTTATGGCCTTGGGAGGCTGCCCTACTCCTGGATACTCAGGGGGAGCAGGAGGGGTAGAGTAATTAATTTCTATGCATATCATTGCCAGGATCACTTACTGATCTGAGGAGGGAGATTAGAGATGTCACCCTATAAATTGAGTCAGAGCCTTCACCTCGGTGCCTGGCTGGCAATTTTACACAGTGCCTGACATGGTAACAAACGCAGGGTACAAAAAGGCAGCAACTCCCCTGGGTGATGGACGGGGGGAATTGGTCCAATAAATTGTTCCCTGTAAAAAGCCATGTTTCCCTCATTAAAAGGCAGTGAATTCTCTATTGCTTTTCATTAGCTCTGGCCTTGCAAGACATGAGGTGTAATTGACAGTGTGGTTACAGGAGGTGGGCCCTGAGGTGAGGAAGACAAAGAAGCTGAAAAGAGATTCTTATTTATTAAGGTGGAGGTAACAGGCAGCTGCTTAATAAGTTTTGGGCATGGGGACCAGGAGGTGGGAGAGTGGTCAGATCCTCTGAGGGTGGTTCCAAGGGCATTCGCTCCACCCAGAAGAGTGACCTGACTCAGGGGAGGAGATGGGGCTTCCCCACTAGGCAGGAGAGGTGGGCAGGTGGAAGCCAACTGTGGTGGTCACTTCCACCCAGCCTAGAGAGGCCATGAGCACTCAACCTGGGTCAAAAGGCATGGAGTCTGTTCCTGGTTTTGTCATTGAGTAGTCAGATGACTATGTAATGCTGGAAAAGATACTACACCTTTGGGTTTCAGTTTCTCCAATGGTAAAGACAGGATCAAGTGAGAGTCCCTCTCTGGCAAGACACTTGGGAAATGACTTGAAATACTAGGGACACATTTCTCTCTTTCTTTTTTTTAACCCTCATATGATTGATTGATTGATTGATTGATTGATTGATTGATTTGTTCCTTCTAGACATACATGAAAGTAGAGTGTATTTTGACATATTATATATTCATAGAATCAGTATAACTTGTTCCAATGAGGATCTCTTATTGTGGCTGTATAGGATGCGTATTCATATATGCAGATAGGAAAGATTCATCTACTGTCTTTTCTATTCCCATTCCCCCTCCTTCCCTTCATTCCCCTTTGTCTAGTCCAATGAACTTCTAATCTTACCCTCCCTTGTTGTGGGTTACCATCCACATCTCAGCGAGAACATTCTGCCTTTGTATTTTTTAGGGACGCGTTTCTGAGCCCTCTGTTTTGATGGTCTCAGCATGGACCCACGCATTCTTTTATATTTTCATGGATGACAATTCATCCCACTCACCATCATTTCCGTGTTCACATTGCCCCAGTGGCCGCTGGGAGCCTCCACCTGGTTCCTGTACCTTTTCACAGGTCCCCTTATTCTTGGATCCCTTTTCACATTCCAGACGAGATGCGGCAGGCTCATCTGATGCATCTCACGCTGTCCACACCCAGTCTGGTGTCTCTAGGGGGCCCACTTGCCCAGGAGACACGGCCCCACATTTAAAAGGGAAGCACAGACTATTCCACGCAGAACATAGCCTCTTGCTTCTCAAGGGCATAGAAGCCTTGACGTGGCAAATGTTGTTTAGGAGATTAAGAGCTGAGGCTATGCACTGAGTCCCACACCACGGGGCAGGTGGGAGGTGTCTCCCCTTCACTGCAGGGCTAGGGAGAGGGGCTTCAAGCCTGCTGCATACCCAGGAAGTGGGGAACACTGGACCAGTGTGCAACCCACACCAGAGCCATCTCAAGACAAGATGCTGTGTCTCCCGCAGGGTAATGGAAGGTGAGAAGCACACCTGGTTAGAGCCCCTGCACCCTCTGCACCAGGTGTGGGCGAGCAGGAGAGAGAAGATTCTACCTAAGAGAACCACCCGAGAGCCCAGCAGGGAGCAGGAAGTGAAGACCTGGTGCAACTTAGTGAAAGTCAGTATGAAACAGCTTCCAGACAGCAAAAAAAAAAAAAAAAATGCCATGTAACTTTTGTTCTGAGTGTGACCACCCCTCACCCTGTCCTACCTTTTTGAGATCACAAGTGCCTCTGGGCCAAGATGAGGGTTGGGGGTAGGGATGGAAGGAACCAGAGAAGCTGATCCCGACTCCACTTGCCTCCAATCCAGGGTGCTCAGCCACCTGAAATGGAAAGATTTGGGGTGTTTAAACATCATTTTACTGAACATTTTAATTAGGTTATTCTGACTCAGTGAAGACTGCCTTCCAAGATCTCACCCAGGGGCAGCAAAGGCTGGAGTCCTGCCCTGCAGGTTTGTACCTGTAAGGAGGTAAAGGTGGGTGGAGGATGTGATTATTTCCTTATTGAACTCTAGTGAATTTTTCCTGGTGCTGTTGTAATTACAACAAGTTGCCACAGAGTGGGTGGCTTAACAAAAATTTATTATCTCCCAATTCTGGAGACTAAAAATCCAAACTCAAGGTGCTAACAGGGCCACAGTCCCTCTGAAGGTGCTAGGGTAGGATTCTTTTCAAGCCTCTCCCCTAGCTTCTGGTGTCCTCAGATGTTCCTTGGCATGGGCTACGCCATCTTCTCTCTGGGACTCTTCATGATATCTTCCCTATATGTGTGTGTGTCTCTGTCCAAATGTCCCCCTTCTTAATGGACACTAGTATATTAGACTAGGCCTCACCCTAATGACCTCATCTTCAACCTGATTACCTGCAGACTGTTTCCAAGTAAGGTCACATTCACAAGTATCAGGTTTAGGACCTCAGCATCTTTGGGGTGGGAGAGGGACACAACACAACCTATAATACCTGCTTTCTCAACAAACCCTTTCTTCCTGAGCACCTGCTATGTGCCAGATGCTGCTCTGGGCACATGAGATTCAAAACACATGACCCAGAGGAATTCATGGTTGGGAGGAACACTGTAGAACAATGACTGCATCAGCAGAGTAGACCTCTCCGGTACCCAGGAGGGGCCATCTCTCTGGAGGAAAGTAACTCTTGAATTGAGACTTACATCCCAAGTTGATGGTTGTTCAGCAAAGACTTGAAGTGGGTAGTCCAGAATGGAGGAAGGGTAAGGGTGACCAGCTGTCTTGGTTTTCCCAGGCCCAAGGGGGTTCCTGGGATGTAGCGTTTCCAGTGCTCAAATGGGAAAGTCCAGGGCAAACTAGGACGAGTTGGTCGCTCTAGACAGGAGAGACGCATGACTTCAGCAAGCAGAGAAGTCATAACCCATCATAGTAAAACTAAAGATAAGGTGCAAGTACATTTCATACTAAGGTGCTCCTTGCAGTTTGGAAGAAAGGAAGAACTATTGGCTAGAGCATCTTGGGAATACTTCAAGGGAGATGTAGAGTTTAAGGTGGGCCTGGGAGGCTGGGAGAATTTGAATGAGGGAGAAAGAGGCTTCTCCAAATGGAAGAAGCAGAAGGAACCGTATTCCCAGGACAGAATTATTCCTGTGTGAGTTTCAGGTGTAAAAGGAAGTGAATTCCTGCCCCTGGAGCTTAGAACCTTGGGGAGGAAGACATAATTGTACTCCTGAGCAGAGGTCTCATTAGGAAGACAGACTATAAAGCCAACTCAACTAACGGGTTCCATGGGACATGAACCTTGCACAGGAAAATGCTGGAAATGGTGGGCCACTGGGGAGTCCAAACTCTTTCCAGATTCTTGGGGAAAGCTCTGCTTGGTTCCTATGGAATACCAAGAACCAAGTTCCAGGAGGGCTATGGCCTACTGAAAAAGGCCCTTCTCTTTGCTTCCTCCCTGTTGATTGTGTTCACCCTTCTTTCCCCCCTCCCAACAATTAGCACATGACCACTATATTCCAGGTCACGTACCAACGGCAAGTGAAAGAGAAAGGGCCTCCCTCCTCTTGGAAGCTGAAGCTTAAAGAAAGGAGACAGACATTTGTTAAATACTCAAGACACATAAACACAAGATCACAAATAGATCTTGCACAATAAAGATGAAGGTCCAGGGTCCTGTTGAGAGTAAAATGACAGGCTTGGTCCAGAAAGCCAGGAAGCACCGTCTGCCTATTTACTGAGACATCCCCAGCACAGCTCAGAGGAAATGCTCACTCAATGAAAAATGATCAGAGCCGAGAATGGGAGAAGAGCGGAGCTGCTGAGCGCCCCGGCGAACTCCTCTCCTCTCTCCTCACCTCGCTCTCACGGCCCGCCCGCCCGCCACCTGCTCGCCGCCCCAGAACATCTTCCATCATGGCCACCTCAGCAAGTTCCCACTTGAACAAAGGCATCAAGCAGGTGTATATGTCCCTGCCTCAGGGTGAGAAAGTCCAAGCTATGTATATCTGGATTGATGGTACTGGAGAAGGACTTCGCTGCAAGACTCGCACCCTGGACTCTGAGCCCAAGAGTGTAGAAGAGTTGCCTGAGTGGAATTTTGATGGCTCTAGTACTTTTCAGTCTGAAGGCTCCAATAGTGACATGTATCTTGTACCTGCTGCCATGTTTCGGGACCCCTTCCGCAAGGATCCCAACAAGCTAGTGTTCTGTGAAGTTTTCAAGTACAACCGAAAGCCTGCAGAGACCAATTTAAGGCACACCTGTAAACGGATAATGGAAATGGTGAGCAACCAGCATCCCTGGTTTGGAATGGAACAGGAATACACTCTCATGGGCACAGATGGTCATCCCTTTGGTTGGCCTTCTAATGGCTTTCCTGGTCCCCAAGGTCCATATTACTGTGGCGTGGGAGCAGACAAAGCCTATGGCAGGGACATTGTGGAAGCTCATTACCGGGCCTGCTTGTATGCTGGAGTCATGATTACGGGGACAAACGCTGAGATCATGCCTGCCCAGTGGGAATTCCAAATAGGACCTTGTGAAGGAATCCACATGGGAGATCATCTCTGGGTGGCCCGTTTCATCTTGCATCGCGTATGTGAAGACTTTGGAGTGATAGCTACCTTTGATCCCAAGCCCATTCCTGGAAACTGGAATGGTGCCGGCTGCCACACCAACTTTAGTACCAAGGCCATGAGGGAGGAGAATGGTCTGAAATACATTGAGGAGGCCATTGAGAAACTAAGCAAGCGGCACCAGTACCACATTCGTGCCTATGATCCCAAGGGGGGCCTGGACAATGCCCGGCGCCTAACTGGATTCCACGAAACCTCCAACATCAACGACTTTTCTGCTGGCGTGGCCAACCGTAGTGCCAGCATCCGCATTCCCCGGACTGTCGGCCAGGAGAGGAGGGGTTACTTTGAAGACCGTCGCCCTTCTGCCAACTGTGACCCCTATTCAGTGACAGAAGCCCTCATCCGCACGTGTCTTCTCAATGAAACCGGAGATGAACCCTTCCAATACAAAAACTAAATGGACTAGACCTCAGCCTTCAAGCCCCTCCTAGTTCTGCCTCCCACTCCAGCTCTTCACCCTCTGTGTTATCCCGCTTGTCCCGATTGTAACTCAAAGGGTGGAATATCAAGGTCTTTTTTTATTCCTCATGCCCAGTTAATCTTGCTTTCTTTGGCCAGGATAGAGGTGTTACGTTTTTAATCTCTTCACCCCCAGCCCCTTTTTCTTGTCAGTGAGGCTTTTTTTTAATGCGCTAGTGGGAAGGGGTGCCTGTCTGTTAGGCATGGCTGTGGGATGCAGCATGTTCTGGGGGAGCAGGGAGGTACATTTTCTTCAAGATTGCTGAAAGAGGAGGCCTGGTGAGGTTAGGTTAGAATTCCCCCTCGTGTGGAAAGCTCTATTTCGTAAGCTGTAACTATAGAGAAGGTGGGGTGGCAGTCAGCGAGGGAAATGCCCTGGTCTCCTACTGCAGCACTTCCCTTGCTTGGGGCTGCATTCCCTTCCGAGGACACAAAGCTGGGTAATCTGATAGAAAGCCCTGTCTTAAAGAAAAAGATCTTAGTGCTTGGTCCTTCATTTATAACACAAAGCAGAGTAGTATTTTTATATTTAAATATAAAAACAAAAAAATTATGGGTGTGTGGGTATGTGTTTTTCTAAGGGAGGAAACCATCCTGGTCCCTGGGTGCTAAATTTGAGGCAAATACTTTGGTTTAGAAATAAAGGAGATCCTTTGGAGCAGGGGTGGGGAGTGTGGTACTGGGAAAGTTTACTAGGGGCGCTTAGTCTTCATTACCACTTTAGGGTCGCCCTGCCCTGTCCACCCTTCTTAAGGAGGTGGACCCTGGACGGCTGCCAGGTGAATGACATTACTGGTGGTCACCTGAGCCCAGTGGCGAGGTTTAAGACCCGCATAATTGTCCATGGGTTTCTGGGAGCGAGTTGGCTGGCCCACATGAGAGCATTCCTGCAGAAGGCCTTGGGTTATTTTTTTGGTGAAACTAGCATGTCACTAAAGCAGGCCTTTTGATACATTAAATTTTTTAAAAGCAAATCAGAAGTTTAGATTTTAATCAAATTTGTAGGATTTCTAAGTCTAATTTTTCAAAATTGTCTGCTTCAACCATCTCTTTCCACTCTCCTCTTGGAGGAGTTGGGGACAGGGCTAGAGTGAAAATACTTGTAATGTTGTATCCTAGTGTCTTTCCTCCCAGTGCAGAATATTCCTTTCTTTGTTAAGATTCCTAAGGAGTTATTCCTTTTTTCTTTTATAATAAACAAGCCCCCTCTCCATTTGCATTTCCCCTACTGTTCCCTGGTTTTTGTGCTGGCCACAGCAGGCCAGCTGTGGTTTTCTCTTGCCATGACAACTTCTAATTGCCGTGTACAGTATGTTAGAGTTAGATAACTTCTTGTTGTAAACAAACTGTAACTGCCCAGAGCAGCGCTTATAAATCAACCTAACATAAAAAAAAAAATGAAAAATGATCAGAGATTGAGTCTGAGAACCAGAGAAGGTGGGAGAGGTGCAGGTGGAAATAGCCCAGCTTGTGTCTCTTCAGGAAAGGAACTTCAGCAGATGCACTCAAGGACTCAATGCCTGATGGACGATTCACTGTCTTTTTTTCCTGAATGATTAATTCATCCTTTCCCCACCTGGCTGTCCACATAATTGGGGGATCTCAAGAAATCGGATCAAAAACCATTTTCCCATAATAAAGAGCAGGTTCCTTCTACCCACATTCCTCTTAGAGTCTTCTTAATTCTCCTCCCTTCCCTCTTCTCCTTCTTCTACACACATGTTCAAAGGGGAGCCGTCCAGCTGCCTGGCACTCCACGCCTTGTTGTCCTCAGAAGAAATACTAGCAAAATGGGAGCCTTAAAATTAAATAGCATGGAGTGTCCAATAATTAATTTGATTTTATACCCATTGTTTATTTAATACAACTTTAAGACGACATTAAGAAGGCAGAACTGTGCAGCCTAGCATGAAAATGAGCTGGAAGCTTTCCAAGTGAGGCCAGGAATTAGCAAATTGGTCAGATGTGCAGGATGGCGCCCAGTAAGATGCCATCAAGAAGCTTTATCAGCAAGAGACACTCCCCCAAAGCCTTCGCTCTCCCGGTCCCTGGGCTGCAGAACAGCCTAAAGCCCCTCAATCAGCTAGAGAGAAGATAGCATCCGCCATAGATTTCCAAGGAGGCTGTGCTGGGTGGGCCCTGAGCCACAGGTGGGTGGCAGGATCGGTGCTGCTTCCCCATTCCGATGCCATTTGCCTGGGTTACCTGCTGCCATCTGAAGGGAGGATCTTACAAAACCACACTGGCCTGGTCTCTGCCCCTTGGGAGGTTAACCGGGAGCTCTGGAATTGAGGCCTGGGGAGAGCTACCTCTGTCAGCACGGGCACATGTGTCTGTTGCTGTCTTGCCCATTTGCTTTCTGTGGCTTCCTGGGATCTGACCATCTGCTGACTTTCCTGACCAAAGGCTGGCCTATGCAGCATTTGGTTGCCTCTGCCTTGCCCCAGGGTTTCCTGGGAAACTGCCCACAGACCATCCACCTCGCTGCCCTTCACCTGGATCAGAGCCCTCAGCTCCACATCAGCCATCAGCCCCTCACTCTCCTCTTGGCCTCCTCTCCTGGGGTTTTGGCCTCCCCATCTCCTTCTTTCTTGATTTCTCATCTATTGCACAACTCGTTGTGGTTCGTGTCTGCCCACAGTGGCTCTGTCATCCCCTAGATCCTCTGACTGGGCCACTGGACAATAGCCACACACGTCCAACCTCAAGCCAAGATGCATTCACTACAAAGTCCAGTTGCCAGGATTGTCCTGGGCAGGCTGTCCCTGGTTAGTCTGGCTGCTGGTTCCCCCCAGGACAGTTGCACCATGAAGCCTGGACCCTGGCTAAGCATTCAGGGCCTTGTTATTAGGCAGCAGCAGACTTCCTGTCCATGCCTGGGACTGCATTTCCTGTTGCTTAGTTCCCAAGTAAGCTAGACCCAACCTCCCAACCACCCCTGGGCTCTGCTGCTTGACTGGCCTGCCCATCTTCAGAAGGCACTCTGCACGCTGCCTTCTCATTGGTACAACTGGTGTCCATGCCCCACCCACAGGGCCCCTCCCAGGGAGGTGTAGGCTGTGCAGTCTAGACCAACAATGGGGTAATAATATTTAGTCAAAACAGTCTTTTCTAATGACTTGTTTCTATGCCATCAATTAATAAAGCTTTGAACTACACCCATGAAAAAATGTCACAGAAAACACTTGGTGCATTGATATTTTTTTTCTGCCTGTTTTACAGTTAGAGAACAGTAGGAGGCCACATAGCATCAAGGGCTAGATTAGGTGTGAGCACTCTGATGAGCAAAAGAGAAGGAAGAGAGAAATCGGTGTGGGCTTCCCTGGACAGATGTGGTCTGGAGGAGGAGTTTTGCAGGACTTTATCTTTCACAATTAGACCTAAAATGGGAGTAATACTATTGACTCAAAAAAGGATGTGAAATGAAAGGAATTGCCATACAAATTTATTTATTAGCCATCATTTCAGTGTTTATTGAGTACCTTCTATGTCCCTGGCAAGGCATTAGGCACAAGAATTATAAAGATGAATAAGACACAGTGACTCAAAGTAAGTAACCCACACTCTAGAGGGGAAGACAGACACTCAAAGAGCTTTCTGTGTTCATTATGATGACAGAGGCATCCAAGCATATTACGGGAGCACATAGGAGAGACAGGGACAGGGAGCAGAGGGGAGATGGCAAGGCTTCCTGGAGGTGAGGACCACTGAGCTGGGGCAGAAAGAATGCAGCCCCGTGTGGCTTAGTCAGGTGAAGTGGATAGAAGAGCCCTCCAGAGAGAGGCATGAGCATGGGGGAGGAGAACACGTTGAGGGGAGAGAGCAATGGATGTGGAAGAATCAGAACTCCATCAGAGTTCTCAGAGTATGAGGCACAAGTTAGAAAACGGGAGATGAGACTAAAGAGATGCAAAGTCCTCCATGGTTTAGATGTGGTTTGAGTGTGACCACAAAATTCATGTATAGGAAGTTCTGTCCCCAGTGTGGTGATGTTGAGCTGGTGGAACCTTCAAGAGGTGGCATCTAGGGCAAGGTGATTAGGCTCCACTCTCTGAAGAGACTGATGTAGTTCTTGCTGATCCAAGTTAGTTCTCACGAAGACAGGTTGCTATAAAGCAAGGGTGGCTGGTTCCCCTCTAGCCTCCTGCCTCACCATGTGATCTCTTCTGCATGTGTTCCTATCATCATGATGCCATCTGCCAAGAGGCTGTCACCAGAGCCAAGCAGATGCTGGTGCTATGCTCTCGAATCTCCAGAGCTGTGAGCTAAATACATTTCTCTCTCTCTCTCTCTCTCTCTCTTTTTTTTTTTTTTAGTAAAGTATCCAGCCCCAAGTATTTTCTCATAGCAATACAAAACAGACTAAAATAAGTCCTAAGACACAACATTCCTGCAATGGAGATATCCTTCAAAAACTATGAATTTACTTACACCATAGAAAATAAGAAATCCCTCCACATTCTAAGCAGAGGAGCACAATGGTCAGATGTGGCGTTAGAAAGCTCAGAAGGACCTGAGGATGGAGGGAAGGATTAGAGGAGACCCGGTGTGGAAGCACAGAGTCTGGTGGCCATGCTGAGGGTGCCAAATGAGGGGTCAGGAGGCCTGGCTGGGTCAGAAGACAGCATGGAGAGGCAAAAGGATGGAAAGTGCAAACCAGAGCACAGGAGCCATTCAGGACATGGTGACAAAATTCACTTCACTGCAACCAGCCTACGAGAGCACAGAAAATTTTGAAAGCAAAAAAAGAAAAAGAAAAAAGAAAAGCAAGAATATTATCTTCAAAGAGCAACAGACTTGTGCCAACTTTTTGGCAGAAATAATGTAAGCCTGAAGACAGGGAACAGCATATTCAAAATCCTAAAAGAAAACGACTGCCAACACAACATTCCTGCAATGGAGATATCCTTCAAAAGCAAAGATGGGAAAGCGTCTGCCGCTTCCTGGTGGGAGGCGGCAGTAGCTGGAGGCAGAGCAGCCTTCCTGCCAAGCACAGCGAGAAAGGCCAGACACAATCCAGAAGGCACTGGTCGGAAGGCGCTGGCGATCTGCTGGGGAGATGAGAACCA